CATATATAAGCAACATTAGTGTTAAGATTGATTGCGACAAATATAATTACATAAAATCTCTTATATGTTTTTTTCTTTTAGTTCGAAATGAAAAGTTAAAAGGTTTGAGTTTGTTAAGCACAGTTCAGCTTTAGTCATTGATGTCAAAAATTATTCTCAATAATAATCTCATTAACAATTTAATCTGGATCGGGATGCTTGATGCACACCTAGCATCATGATTGAATGGGTCGTATTCAAATGTTTACTAGTATAATATTATGATCATTTTTAAAATTTAAAGCTGTGTGGTTTAATTAAATATTAATTAATTATTAATCAAGAGAAAAAAAAAAAAAGGAGCACGTACATAAGATGGCTAGTGTGGAAGGCATATCTCATCTCAAATATCGTATTAGACTTTATCTTGAAGGGGACAAAACAGATGCATATTGTGCTACTAAAAAAGATGCAAATTAAAGGAGGAATATGATCCTTCAGTTTAATTAATTAAACCAAAGTTGGTATTAAATAAGCAAATCATCATCTTCTCTTTTATTCTTCTTCGTTCCGGGAAAGAGGTAAAGCAGCCTATTCTGACGTATGGGTCATTGACTTTTTAGGTATGGCAGTCCAAGCAAGTAGCCAAGTACGGGTTCATCTGCATGCCCGACCGCCCTACTTGCTGCTCTCCCCAAGACTTCTGTGAACCCTGATGCACAACAATTAACCACCCATTACGTAATGCAACTTGTGGAATACCAAACCCTATGTATCACTAAAACAGGATAGGTCGACATGAGTGATTTATTTTTTTAAAAAATTATAATTATAATAAAATATTATATTTTTATAAAAATTATTAAATTCAATTATATAAACAAATGAACAAGAACAAATCTAACATAAATTGGATCAAATCCATAAATAATGAGGCTTGAACTTGAAACTTGAAACTTGAAACTATCAAGAACTCATGTTTATCATTAAATCAAATTTTCATTGGCAAATAAGTAATTTATTTTAAAATTATTATTTAGTGAAAGAAATAATTACAAACATCCACGTTTTAGATGAAGAATTGAAACAATTTACATATATATAAATACATGATTTTTTTATGTAAAAATTGGAATAGCTTCGATTTTTTTCAAATGTCTAAGTATTTAACTTTTACCTTATTGCATCGCCATAATAGTAATGTAATTTGGTCAACAGGAGAGCTCAAAATGTGATTGGTTCCAAAAATTAGACTCTCAAATCTCAACTACTGATGATGTGAGATCCCAACTTTGTAAGGATAAAATTTGGTCTACATGCGTAAATTTACCAATAAATTCAATGAAAAACAAATTAAAGCAAAAAAAAAATTAATAATAATAATAATAATAATGGACTTTAAGTCGTTCATAATTTGTCAACATCACACGATTTTAGGTTAGTCTTCTTGGAGTAAGAATGTTGAGAATGTTTGAAAGAAATTAAGGCTTCAAATTGTTTTTTTTTTTTTTTGGTGAGTATTTTTGATAAAATCATACGTAATACAAAATATAAAGATTATAGATTGATTGAGGTTAAATATTCAAATTTGTTTTACTTTGAATGATAATCTTCATGTTTCAAACGGGATTAAATTTGATAATTTAGATACAATCATAATGATACAATATAAAAAATATAAAAATAATAATAAAAGATTTTAAAATTTTTACAAAAAAATATATTTGATAAAAATAAAAAATATATTATATTTTAAATATAGTTAATATAAAATAGATATAATATAAATAAACAAATTATCAAATTCATTCAATTTGCTTAAGAAAAAAGTGAAAAACATTACGAACTGATGATAAATAGCAATAGGAGCTCTAAAACGACAACGTTAGGGAAAGTGTACACCTGGACAGGCAACCCAGAGAAACCCAACCACGTGTAAAACACCAGTTTGGCACATCGGAGTGATGTGTTCCGACGAGAACCGCCCAATGGCTGGCAGATTGTGTGGGAAAAGCACAGGATCAAGATCCAACATTTCTCACGTGTTCACGTGGACCCCATAGTCCTCTGTGGCAGATGCCAGTGATTCTGTAATTATCATTAAATTCCCAGAGCAAATCACAAACCTCAACTCTACCTCTCAATGCACCAAAAAAAAAATATATATATATATATATAATAAATCATCAAAATTTTTATATATACCTTCGAAATTTTCTGTCAAAAATACCTATCTATCAAATGTCAATTTTAATCTTCAGTAAATGAAAAAAAAAATATTCTTAATAACTTATATACCAAAAAAATATCTTATACTTTTTAAAAATAAATTTTTAAAAATCATTGTGTTTTCAAAAATCTATTTTCAAAAAATTATATAATTATCGAAAATAAATTACTGAGAACAAAATATACTTCTCGAAAATTTATTTTCAAGAAAATAATATAATTTTAGAAATAAAGATTTAAAAGTCATCTGTATTTTTAAAAATTCAATTTCGAGAATACATGAATTTTTTTAAAAATATATATTTAATTATAAACTCTTGATAATGAAAAATTTTGGATATCTAATCTTTTGACTATTGAAAATATTATCAATAGATTGATAAATTCAATAATAAAGATTGATGATTGAAAGATTAGATACTGTCAAATTTATCAATTCACTAATGGCATTATCAGCAACAATGTTTTGTAGGGCATTCAAGCTCTGATTTGTATGCATGTACATACATAAGTCATTGATGTACCTATTTTTACTTAATCATATGTGCGAATAGAAGAGATTAAGTTCTTAAGCATGCATAGGATTAAAATGTTGTCTTGAGCCCAAAAACCTAAGAATTCCATTTTATCCATACAAAACCAAAAAATAGTATTTTTGATTTTTTGAAAGTTCAAGAGAATTAACAAATTTATCTCATGTATGTTGAAAATATCGATTTGGATTCAATACGCATATATAATCAAGTAAATAAGTTTATAAACGCATGATTAAAATTTTTTATTAAAAGTAACATTAAACTTCTCAAATATAAAGATCCAAAAACTCTCATATCTTATTATATATTTATTTTTGAAAAGTTTAAAACTTTTCAAAAATGAATATTCAAAAATTTAAGTTTTTTTAAAATAGATATTCAAAAAGTTTCAAAACTTTTTGGGTATTCATTTTCAAAAAACTCAATTTTATAATATAAATAGAGAAAAAGAGAAAAATGATAAAAATAAAAAATAAAAAGTGAAAGATAGAGTGTATTCAATAAAAATAAAAAACTTAGTTTTAAATTTGAAGTGTATATATAAGTGGGGTAGATATAGCATTAAATAAGGAGTAAATAGAATTCTCTAATATATATACATATATAAATGTAAGAAAAATGTAAAAAAAAAAATTCTAAATTTCTATTGAGTTAAGCCAACCCTGTTGCCTGTTTCGAAGCAGAGAATGAAATAAACGGAAACAAACGTCAAAAAACGTCGAAACAACACCTAATGACTCTTCGTAGCCCCAACCATGCGCATCCAAATGTGAAATGCAAATATTCGTACGTACAACGCTGTTAAGAAACGACATTGCATCCTTTGCCGTCATATGGTCCTCCACGTTAACCAAAAAAAAAGACACAAAAATAACCATGGGTACCCGATTAATTTTGACAAAGTAACTGCCTTAGCACTTAGCAGTTACATGGTTTTATTGGGTCGCTTCCACCCATTATGGGCGGACCCGAGTCCCCGTATCCATCAATCATCGTAATAATTATTTAATTTTCTATGGTGCTTATGTTTGGTAGATAAAATTATAATACAATAAAATAAAATAATATTTTAAATATGATTAGATTAAATAATATTATTTTATTTTATATTTGATATATGTAATGATTAAGATAAAATAATTTATTTATTGATTAAAATTATTTTTATAAAATTTAATAATTTAAATTATTGATATAATTTTTAAAAATATAATAAAATATGTAAATTTAATTTCATAAATTAAAAATAATTATTTTCACTTCAGTAGTGTTCGGTATGGATGATTATTTCAAAAATCATGATGATCAATGCATGGTGATTAGATCATTACATTTGGTAAGTATTTGTTGATCTTACATGACGATGATATTGAATAATTAAAAGTGATCAAATTATTATCTTAGAGAGTGATGTAGTTACAAAATGATAAGAAACTTTTTATTATTGAGATGAAATAATATATAAAATTAATAATAGTTAATTTTATCCATTTAATATGTGAATAAAAAGGTTACTGTTATTTAAATTTGTAATTATTTTATATTATAAAATTTTATATTTTTAAATTAATATTCATTATAACAAGTTTAAAATAACTTACATATATTTTTAAAATTTTTAAATATTTTATATATAATATACAATTTTCTTTTTTTATTATGAATTTAATATATTGGTTTTATTTTTTAATTTAAATATTTTTACATAATTTATATTATAAAAATCAATTTACTTGTCAATAAATATATTTATTAATTTAATAATTAAATTATATTTTATTATAAAATAAATAAATATTACGAATATTTTACAAATTATAATCAATAAACAACCTTAAAAATATGAATTTGTGCAATTATTATAATATATAAAATTATTTTCATATTTTTACATAAAATAATATTTAATTTTTAATATTATCAAACATAATAGTCTATGTGTTAATCATTATTAATCAAATAAGTGATTTTAAATTACGAGTTTTAATATTACTTTAGTAATTAAATCACTATAGTAATTATATTATCATAATAATCGTGTAAAAAATTTTAAACGTTATTTTGAGAATCGAATCATTTTATATAAAAGAATGATTAATTATTTTTATGATTTTATTTATTATTTTAAATACAAAGTAAATATATTATAAAATTATTATTATTTTATCTTATCCATTATTTTACGTACTAATCATGATAGTATATATATAGTAAGGTTTATTAAGTGAAGGACTATAGAGGTTTGGAGGATTTAAATTATTTTTTGGAGGTTTCTGAATTTTGCAGCTGCTGCTGCTGCTTGTTGTGGACTTGAAAAGTTCGAGAGATATCTATGATGGCGAATCGGGGAAGGTCGTTTTCGCAGACAATTAATGTCTCCTCCGAAGGTTCAAAACAAGAAGCGTAAAATTGACCTTTGATTCTAGATTTTCTTCAAATTGTTTTCTTTTTCTTTGCTTTTTTCCTGAAAATTTTTTGAAAGTTTTCATTTTCTTTTTCAGTGATAGGAAATGGAGGAGACGACCTGAATATGGAGTTATGGAAGTTATGTGCGGGCCCACTGGTTGACGTTCCTCGAGCTGAAGATAGAGTCTATTATTTTCCTCAAGGACATATGGAACAGGCAAGTCTCTTTTTGTTGTTTCATATTTTTATTTTTCTTTTTCTGGATCGTATTTTTTTTTCTGTTTGTTTTATTTGGAAATTGTTGCCTTTTTATGGAAATGATTAATTTCTTGGGTTGTTGATTGAAATATTGCTATTTTTGGTGGGGGATTGTTTTAGTTGGAAGCGTTGACATATCAGGAATTGAATCAGAGGATTCCGTTGTTTAATCTTCAACCGAAGATTCTTTGCCGTGTTGTTCACATTCAGTTGCTGGTAATTTTCTATATCTGATTCGTAATTTAATTTGTATAGGTTATAGTAATTTATAGTTTTGTTTTGATTGTTTATTTGTTTGGTTGCTGAGAAAATGGAGAGGAAAAAGGAAGTGGAATATTTATTTGAATCCTATTTGTTTTACTGTTTTTGATGTTGAAAAGAACTTTAACCTTACGCTTTGAATAATTATTTTTATTGGCTCGATGAATTGGGGTTTCATTAAGATGCTAAGTGCTGTAGACCTAGTGGACCATTATGTTTTTCTGTCAACATGATTGATTTGGGGATAACTTTTATGGACTTATTCTGTTTGTAGGCTGAGCAAGAAACAGATGAAGTTTATGCACAAATAACTTTGTTGCCGGAACCAAATGTAAGAACGATTTTGTTCTTTTCTGATTTGGACATCTTTCAGTATCGGAATGCAAGAAGGTTGGTTTGTCTTTTTTTTTCATTGTTTGAACTAGTGATTTCCAATTATCCTTTTGGCATCTATAGCAACCTGAGCCAACAACTCCTGATCCATGCCCTCCGGAGTCTCAAAGATCCACTGTACACTCATTCTGCAAGGTTTTAACTGCCTCGGATACAAGCACCCATGGAGGGTTTTCTGTTCTTCGCAAACATGCCACTGAATGCCTTCCTCCACTGGTATCAGTTTCTTGATCATGCTATTTGTTTTGGCATTTTCATCTTTTATCATAAATCTCCTTTTTATTGATTTCTGTATGTGGATATCTTTCAGGACATGAACCAGGCAACACCAACCCAGGAATTGGTTGCGAAGGATCTTCATGGTTATGAGTGGCGCTTTAAGCATATTTTCAGAGGTAATAAAAACACCTGATATATTGTCTTGCTTGTTCAGTTGCTTGATATTACAGTCTTCAACCATTTGGGTAGATTTTAGATACTGTAAGCCTTTATGTTTTTTATATCTATTCTAGCCTTTATGTTTTTTATATCTATTCTATGTAAAACCACCTCCACTATTGATGGGCACATCACAAACATTATTATTTTGTTTTTGATTAAATGAACAGGCCAACCAAGGAGGCATTTGCTCACAACAGGATGGAGTACATTTGTTACTTCAAAGAGATTAGTCGCTGGTGATTCCTTTGTGTTCCTGAGGTAGATGCTTTTTTGCATTTTTTGTCAACTTTGATGTTTGTGTCTGCACCCTGCACATGTTCCAGCCTTTTCTGGTTATGTTCATTTCTCATGGAGCTGGTGAGCTATTCATTTAATACTTGCTATTCATTTAATACTTGGTTATCTAGAGGGGCAAATGGGGAGCTACATGTTGGAGTGAGGCGTGTTGCTCGTCAACAGAGCAGCATGCCATCATCAGTGATTTCAAGTCAGAGCATGCACTTAGGAGTGCTTGCAACTGCATCTCATGCTGTTTCAACGCAAACCCTCTTTGTTGTCCACTATAAGCCAAGGTATGATATTTACAGATTTGCCAAAATGAGATGAAAATAATATTTCTATACTTATATTTGTCTTGTCTAAACTATCAGGACGAGTCAGTTCATCATCAGATTGAATAAATATTTAGAGGCTCTTAACAATAAGTTTACAGTTGGCATGAGATTTAGGATGAGGTTTGAAGGGGAGGATTCTCCTGAGAGAAGGTAGCGGAACTTAACCACATAATCGCTTTGGGTTGGTGGTCGTTTGATCTCTTCTTTAAGTACTTAACATACCTTGGTGGATTAGGTTTTCTGGCACAATTGCTGGGGTTGAAGACTTTTCTCCTCACTGGAAAGATTCAACATGGCGATCATTGAAGGTAACTTCTTCCTACATGCTTTCTTCAACTTTAATTTAAATTATTTTGGCAGTATAAGCATAATTACTGCTTGTCAACAGGTACAATGGGATGAACCTTCCTCCATTCCAAGACCTGACAGGGTTTCACCATGGGAGATAGAACCCTTCGCTCAACCAATTCCACCAACTCTGGCTCAACCAGTTGTCACTAAGTATAAAAGGCCTCGACCACCCAATGAAATTCCGGCTCTAGGTGAGACATATTTTTCCTTGTTTGATGCCTCTTCCATTATACTTTTGCTTTTTATATTTGACATCACTTTGTTTGATAATATAGATTTACCTTCAACAGCATCTGCTCCTTGGAATACTGAAGTGACGCATTCCCCTGATCTAGCATGGCGTAACATTACTCCTGAAGGGAAAAGAAATGAAAACCATGTTATATGGCATCACTTGCAAACAGAGATGAACAGCAGTTGCAGCTCTGTCTCGAAGACTCAGAATGAAAGAAGCAGGCTATCTTCTCCTGGCATGAGTGTTTATCCACTTATGTTTCCTGAAGCAAGAGAGGATAACAAAAGTGTACGTGGTTGGCCTGTTCATTCAGGCTTTTCAAACCCACAAATAAACAATGTTTCAACATTTGATCCAATTGAAAAGGTAAAGAAATCTGAGACAGCTGCTAGTTGCCGATTGTTTGGTATTGAGCTGATAAACCACTCTGCGAGCTCAACACATTTGGAGAGGACACCTACACAACTTTCTACTATGACCACTGGTACAACTGAAGGACATGGTCTGAGTACCCTGTCACCCATTGATTCTGACCAGAAGTCTGACATTTCAAAAGATTCTAAAGAGAAGATGCAGGAACAGTTACAGTTATCAGCAAAAGAGATCCAGAGCAGACAAAGTTGTTCTAGTTCTACAAGAAGTTGTACCAAGGTATTGAAAGTCAAATTTTCATGAAAATGTTAATTTGTTCAATTGAAGAATTATTTGCTTCTTTGAAGAATTTCCAATAAAGGGTTTGTATACGTGAACAGGTTCAGATGCAGGGGGTAGCTATCGGTCGTGCTGTTGACTTGGGCATGCTGGAAGGGTATGATCAGCTTATAGATGAACTAGAGAGGCTGTTTCATATTAAGGGAGAACTTCGCCCTAGGAATAAGTGGGAGATTGTCTACACTGATGATGAAGGGGATATGATGCTTGTAGGTGATGACCCATGGCTGTAAGTAACCTGATGCCTTTTGTTTGTCCTTACTTTTTGAAAAAATCTCTTCTAGAATTTAGTTTATTGACTTTGATTTTATATTCGTGCAGGGAATTTTGCAACATGGTAAGAAGAATATTTATCTGTTCAAGTCAGGACGGGAAAAAGATGAGTACTGGAAGTAAACTTCCCCTGGCTTCTATTGAAGGTCAAGGGACTGTGATAAGTTCATACTCAGCTGAAAACTGAAATCGGAATCTTTTATTTTTCTTTTCCTGATTTTTATTACCTGTCGTTTGTTTCTGTTAGAAGCTTTTTGTGTTACTTTTCGGTTGTGAAGGATGTTAGCTCGTTTTTTAAAGCTGCCTACTATAGGAGACTAGAAGACATGACCTGGGTTTGAAGAACCAAGAGTTCTAAATGAATTAGTTTGGGTTAGAGGCTAGGAGCAGGAGAAAGTGAATACTTAATAACTTTGTGACGGGTTGGGGGTTGTAATCTTGGTTTTTGTGCTTGTAATTATAAAATGTGCTTTGGCAGTGTAATGCCGGTATGTAGTGAGTGATCTGGTGGTGTAATCCCGGTATTAAGTGAGTGAAGGTGTACCTGCTTAGCGCTTATGGTGCTGCTGCTGTCATTACCTTCGCTTTTTTGGTTTTCATTGATTAATGGTCAACAGCTCCTTTGCATTTATAAACTTCTTTTTCTTTTCTTTAGAAGTAGAAGGAGGTAGCCTGAATTAGGATATGAGGCCTGACAGCACCTCTTAGCTTGGCGAGTAGGCATTTAGCTCGTTGAGGACTTGATGTCAACCGGGAAGCCGAGGCATTCAAGTCCTTTGTAAATGTATTATTTTGCGAAACTTTCAACTTTTCAATAAAAATTTGTAACAACGCAATGTATGTTTGTCAGATTTGCATAGCTCTTTAATCCTCGTTATATGGTTTTTCCTTTTTTTGCCCAAGTCTCGATGGGGTTTAAATCTTTACATTTTCATTGGTTATTAGGTGATTATCATTTCAATTATTCGATAATAGTAAGTCATAATAATCTTATAAATTCAACCGATTTGTGATTCTATAAGGAGGCATAGCCCACGCTTCACTGTGCCGTTAATCAAGGGTGGCATTCGTTGGCATTTGTGAATTATAACCCTACATCGGGTGCATGACATTCCTCACATAATAATACATTTTTTTTTTTCTTTGTAACACTCAAGATGGTAAGATACTCGAAAATATTTGGACTATTGTAATTTATCCAACAACTCTTTTTTGAGAAGATTGTAGCCCCATGAGGCATGCATGAGCAGCATTCCATTCTCACACATCAAAGTCATACGCATCTTAATGGATATGGGCAGCCCTGATGAATGATTTTCCATGCCAGACGGTAAGTCATGCCGCATGTGATTGACTAATATATAATAGTCTCAGCACGTAGACCGCATATCTTTAGAGCTTGACTAGTAGTAGAAATTATTGAATTATTGCTGCTAGATCTCCCTCACAAATAATTCTTGAATTGAAACATACAATTAAACCAACTGTTTGTGCCGAATTCTGAGTTGGGGTAGACCTGGTATCGTAAGAGAAAGAAAAAAAGTGGTGAGAAGTAAAGGCAACAAGTGTTCTTTGCATTTATATTTTGATGCACAAGTAAAAAATTGATATGAAAAAGGTCGAAAGGAAAGAAAAGCAAAGATTTAAGAATAAGACGGAATGGAATGATAGTACCTATGTGTTCATATTTATAAGTAAGAGGCAAGGGACTTATTGGAGGACAAAAGTGATGTGATGTGGCACTGAACATATCAAGTCGATCCAAATGTCTAAAATACTTTTGGCTATTTGCTGGCAACCTTTAATAAGGAGAAAAGACTAAAATGCTCTTTGGACCACTAAATGCCCCTAACATTTTGTCAGACAATCTAAGTATTAGACTGTTAGGTACGTGATTAATTTGCTTTTGCATATGTTTGCAGACTTGACCTTAATTTCTACAAATGTAGGTTTTGAAGAATTGCTAGGGATCTGACTTCTTATGGCCAAGGTCAAATGTTTGTGAAGTTGACATGCTGGGCAAGCATCAAGGGGCATGCATTTGTTGTTCAACTCCATCTGAATGGCTTCGGTCTGTGTTGACCTAGCGTTAGTCTAATGTTGTGTGTGTACTTTGGATGAGGTATATGGTTTGTTTAAGGGTTACCGAAGTGACTTCACTTTGGGTGGCCTGAGGTGAAGATAGAAGAGTTTGGGCGAGCTGGCAATGTTTGTCTAACTGATGTGAAGCTTAATGTTTTCTAAAATTAGTTCTTTATGTATGCCCTGGGGTGACCAGGCAGTTGATTTTTCAAATCGGTTCGATTTGGAATTTTTGTCCGATCTAACTAGTTCAAGTAGGTAAGATCACATTTAATGAGGAAAGAGGTTTTTGGGTGGTAAAATTTAGAAAAGGGGAAAGTGAAAAGACACTTTCCAATGACGTCCTACCATGTGGAACAATCTGAGTTGTTCATATGATCTAAAACGCGACTATATAAAAGGCTGTCGGGGCCTTTATTTTTTACCTTTTTTGCTTTCTTACTCTTAATCCGACTTGAATTTTTAGACCTAAAAGCTTTTCAGTTTTCCTCGATTTTAAAGCATTTTTTTCTTTCCAACCACTATTTCTTTTCTTACTTTGGTACTTATTTTTTCATCATGTCTACTAGTGCTAATTTCGAGGGTGAAAAGAGTTTTAGGGTAGAGCTTAGAAGGGTCGGCTCAAGCATGACGATGACGATCTAATTTCACCATTCATCACCGATCAAGACTACAGCAAGATGGCTTACTGGCTTAACCCAATGTCAAAAAAGAATAGCAAAGAGTTGAAGACAATGCTCGAGCTCGAGAAGAATTGGTCATGAATGTGAAAAAGCTTTATGCTCAAATTGATTTTAATTTGGAGGATCCTTTTCCTTTCCCAATCTCCTAGGTCAGACTGACTTCTTTAACTGACATTCCTTTTTCTTCAGTTGTTTCCCTTTTTGGAGTTCAATCTTGTTATCCTCCTACCTCCTTTGCTCTTTAACCCGTCATTAATGGTCCTATTCTTTCTTTAATTCCTTCTCAACTAGCTCATGTTGATGTCCTTTCTTTTTCTTTTAAAGAATTTTTTCATCTTTCCTCTTTCTTTAGTATTGTGGTGTTCTCCACCATTATTCCAGCTCAAAATCTTACTTCTACTCAGAAGTCTAAGTTTTCTAATAGTGAAGACTCTAATGACGATGGGGGTTATGATAAGAAGCAAGCAGAGAAGGATAACCTAGTTGAGGAAGATGAAGGTGAGGGAAGTCCTCCTCGAAAATAACTAAGTTGGCTGAGGTCCCAGTTTATACCCCTTACTTCTTAGGCGTGATCCCTAAGGAAGTTATGAAGAACTTAAAAGGCAGGGTTAATCCTAAAGACTGCCCTAATATGTATTTTGCTTACATGTCCATTCTTTGGGAATGAACTTTCATTTTTTAGAAAAGGGGTATAGTATATTGATGTCGAGGACCTCAGATCGAGTTACTGATAAGCTAGAATCTCATCAACTCTAAATGTGTTGGGACTCCATAGTCATCGGTTTGAGTTTCTCCTTACACCTTTTATTTGTTGAAAATTTCCTTTCTTATAATTTAATACTCACCTATCTCACTCCTAATTCATTTTGGTACATAGTAGCATTCATAATTTTTTGCCAACACTAAAGTATTTATCCTTCCCTCCCTTTATTTAGGGAATTTTTTTTGTTAAGAGGCACCCTAATGACAAAAGGTGATTTAATGTAACAGCTTATCCCAATAAAAAATTATTCGTAGATTGCTCAAGCTTAATAAAAAATTGAAAGTTTCTCTTCCTTTGCATCTAAAAAGAGAAACAGAATAAAGATGGTGAGTTCAAGGTATGAGAGATTTTGAATGAGCTTGGGAATTTTGATGATGTGCTCATTCCTCTTTTTGTATCTGACCTCACATATCTAGATAAAATAATGAACTACATTTGAAGAAAGGACTTGGTCATAGATGCCAATGAGCTGACCTTCCTTGAGATGGTAAATGAGTCCAAGTATTGGGGCAAGTGCAAGGTAACCTTGTAGTGTTTTTATTTTTTTTATTTTTTTCTAACTTTTAGTTCATATTTACAGAGATATCTTCCTAACTGTCCAAAGATTTTAATTTTTATTTATATACACATAAGCCAGGGCCCAAGAAGAGATAGAAAAACCAATAAACTCTTCTTTTAGCAAGTAGCTGAGCTTATCAACTTAGCCTTCTACCATGGCTAAAGGTAAGCAAAAGATGATGGCACTGAGAGAGATCTCCACGATAGCTCTTCTTTAGCCAAGAAGCAAAAAATCAAGGCCTCTTCTTTTTAAAGAATCTTAAGGCTTATATTTTAAGACCCAGCTTAAAAAAGATCTACACGAGTCTATAGTACACTCTTAGTGAGAATCCACTAGAGAGTGCTGACATGCCCAGGAAGTTTGCTAAGTTACAGTCTTTTCCAGTAGTAAGTAACATTTCAGCTCAGTTCTCGTGTTACTATTGTTGACTTTATTATTTTTTTTTAAGTTTGAGCTTTGCTTTTCTTTGCAGTCTATTAAAAACTTCCACCTTAGCCCCATATTTGTGCCAGCTAGGCCTTACATTATGCCTATATAGCAATGGCCTACATGTTCAAGGTTGAAAATGACCTGAATATCTAAGGTGAAGAGAACAAAAAAAATATCGAGTCTCTAGTCAATATACGATCTAACTTCAATATCACCCATAACAAAGAGGTAGAGTAGAAGAAGCAAAAGGCCAGTAAGGCATGCAGGGATAAAGTCATCCTAAAATTCATGGCCACTGAAGAATACACTCAGTTTCAAATGAAATTCTCAAAGAAGAACATTCTTGGTGCATTCGAGCTAGCACAAGGTAAGGTGCTTTTTAAATACGTTGACTTCAACCTTGATCTCTTGGATATCAACATGAATAACATCAGGTCGAGGTTTCCACTACCTCTATCTGAGAGGGAAGATGATAAGGATGAGGATGAGGATGTAGCCATAGATGCTAAGTTTGAGTTGCTTTTGCACGTGAAGCTAAGGCTACTGCTATTGACTTGGGATGCTTGTGAGGCTTTTTTTATTCTTTTTTGTTAGTTTTAGTTTAAACATGAGGTCGGGTTTTTGTAAAGACTTTAGACTAGATCAGATCACTCACCAAAATTTTTGTTAATAATTTTTTTACATTTAATTGATAGTGATAACCCTGACATTGCAATGACAATTAAAATTTTTGTTCAAGTCTTAGCTCGATTTTTTTTTAATCTCATTAATTCCTTTATAAAAGACTAATAAGTTTAAGCACGACAAGTTAATTGATTCACCAAATAATCACAAAGTTTAAGCTTGATAAACATAGCTAAAATAATTCAAAACGATTTAACGAACCAATCTTGAGCATGGACAGGTTAAAAAGTCTTAGCTCAATGTAAGGAGTATAAAATTTGAGCAACTGTTTTAGGTTGATCAAAGCCCAAGCTCAGGACTTTAAGTAAATGTAATTGACTTTAAGTCTCAGGTTAGATGTAGTTGGTTTTAAAGTTAGGTCGACCAACACCAAAGTTTAAAACTCATAATAAATGTAATCAAAATAACTTTATTCAATAATTTTTAAGTTACAAGTGTGATTTCGATTTTGTCCTAGCTACTGATAATAAACTTTTAATTATTTACATTTCACGTCCTCGAGATGAGATTGTTGTTCATGTCTTGTAATCTATATAGGTCGTGTCATGGATGACCTTTTTTAACCACGTATAGTCCATCTTAAGTCGAGGCTAGTTTACCATATTGGTTGTTCACTCTTGAAACTTTAACTTTCCTAAGTATCAGGTCACCTTTTTTTTTTATGATTTATGCCAAACTCTCTTGTTATAGTAGTTAGACATTCTTTATTAGTAGGTTGCCATTCTAGTTAAAGCTACATCTCTTTACTTTTCTACTAAATCCAAGTCAGCCCTAAAGGCATTTTCATTTCTCTCTATTGAATCAAG